TATACAACCCTCACAGGAGGGTTAAGGTGGGCTATGAGAATGGGGAGGGTTTGGCTCCCTGCCATACCACTCATAGAAATCCCCAGACTCCCACTCCCGTTCTGTTCCTTTATCCAGTACCTTCTTTTCAGTCTTTTACCGGCTATTTGTCTGGTCACTGGGTGCCTTTCCAGTGGAATACCTGTATTGAATATCTGTTCAACCTTACAAAACAAGTTGCAACATATGGTTTGCTACCTTTTTTCTTCACACGCATAGGTTCTCCCTGTCCCTCTCTGTGGGGAAGGTGAAAAAAACCTCACTCCACCCAAGCCAGTCTGGTACAGGAAAAATTCTTTCTCAGCCCCCCCCTTTAAAAAGGAGAGACTAGCATAACCCTATAGCTGGTCTTAACCCAACCAGAGAATACTCCCGTCTCCCATCTATGAGAATACTTCCAAACTACCAATGAACATCGGTCTGACCAACTAGATTCCCACCCCATCAACACCAAAAGAAAAAAAATTCTATGTGGACTCCCCCTGAAGGTTGTAATTACAGTCTGGATTTCTATATACAATGCTTCCGAAACAATACACAGACTGACATTATGCACAAACAACAAGTGACATGCAGTCTCAGCCTCGCTGAACGCTATGCTATCCAGAGTCTCAAAAACAACCCCGACATTATAATCAAATCAGCTGACAAAGGGGGTGCTGAGGTCATTATGAATAAGACTATGAACAGGAGGTGGCTAGACAACTCTCCAACACCACATTTTACAGACCTCTCTCATCCGATCCCACTTCACAATACCAAAAAAACCGACACTGTCTCCTTAAGGAACTCCCTACCTCTACTCAGAACCAAATTCACACAGAAACACCTTCTGAACCCCGACCAGGATTGTTCTATTTGCTTCCCAAAATCCATAAACCTGGACACCCTGGACATCCCAGCATTTCAGGTATTGGCACGCTCACTACCGGATTATCCAGCTATGTCTGTCCTCAAACCCTATGTAACCAACACTCCCAGCTATCTCCGAGATATCACTGACTTCCTGAGAAAACTACAAAACATTGATAACCTCCTTGATAACACCATCCTTGCCACCATTGATGTAGAAGCTCTCTACACCAATATTCCACATGAAGATGGATTACAAGTGATTAGAAACACTACTCCAGAGGACACCACAGTCAATCTGGTAGCAGACCTATGTAACTTTGTTCTCACGCACAATTATTTCCAATTTGGGGACAACTTATACCTCCAGATCAGCAGCACAGCCATGGGTACCTGCATGGCCCCACAGTATGTTAACATCTTTATGGCTGACTTAGAACAATATTTCCTCCTATTCCGTTCCCTTTTACCCCTCCTCTACTTACGCTACATTGATGACATCTTTAATATCTGGACGCACAGCTAGGAAACACTGGATGCATTCCACAGAGACTTTACCAATATCTGGACCCACAGCTAGGAAACACTGGATGCATTCCACAGAGACTTTACCAACCTACACCCCACCATCAGTCTCAGCCTGGACCATTCTACACAAGAGATCCATTTTTTGGACACCACAGTACAAATCACTAATGGAAAATTAAATACCACTCTCTACAGAAAACCCACTGAGTACTACACTTACCTACATGCCTCCAGCTTCCATCCAGGACACACCATACGATCCATCGTCTATAGTCAGGCCCTTAAGTACAAACCACATCTGCTCTAATCCCATTGACAGAGACTAGAAACTTCAAGATCTCTACCAAGCATTTGTAAATCTCAATTACCCATTGGGAGAAAAAAAAAAAAAATTGAAAGAGCCAGACGAATATCCAGCAACCATCTACTTCAAGATAGGCCCAAGAAAATCAATACTAGAATGCTACTTGTTATCACTTAAACTCCTCTAACACATTATCAATAAACCACAACCTATACTGGAATAGGATACTACATTCCGAGAGGCTCTGGGGTGCAGTCACAGTGGTGCAGACTGTTGTAGCTGTTTAAATTCTACTTTTAGATGTTCCTTTTGTAGTCATTTGTGAGTGACTGGCCATCTTTCTCGGTAGGTCACTGGATTATTATAAAAATTAGTTTAAAATATAGTGAAAAAAGGAGAATGCTTGAAGAGATTGCAAGTTTAATAGTCATAAAGACAGAAATACAATTAGCAGGTACACATAGGAACATATTTAAGTGTATATATATTCTTAAGAGAAGAAGAATATAGTCATACTAAGAAGCCATTCAAAATGTTACTATCAAGTTAATAGTCTCTTGAATTTGTAATATCCAGTTATACACATTTTAATATAAAAAATTCAGTCTACATTTACTGTTGAATTAGGTATAAAACACAAAATCAAAATGAAGATTTACATTAGTCTTAAAATGCCAGCAGTTTGAGAAGGCTTGTACATGGTTTCTAACTATTCTTAATATTAATTAAAAGCAGTGGCCAAGATTAAAAAAAAAGGCTGCTAAATCGAGAATCTCATATTTTAAAAATTAGTCTACATTTTTAATTTATACAAGAAAAAAGAAAAATTGTGATGCATAATGTTTTCTGAAAGTTAGTAAGCTTTATGTTTGTTAATGTGAGCTTTAAAATAATTAAATTATGTAATGTTTGCAAGTTTTTAATCTTAGACTTAATGAATTTACTGTATGTATAGATTTTTCTATACAAATTCAAAAGAGTTTTTTAGGTTGATAAATATATTAAGAAAGGACATAACAAAGGAATACAATTGTGTTATGCTGTTAATCTCTGTGGTTGCCATGAAGGTAAAAGGGGCAATTGCCAGGTGTGAATTTTTAACAGTGAGAGGAATTAACCATTGAAACACTTTTTACAAAAGTTGAGAGGGATACTCCATCACTGACAATTTTTAAACAAGATTGGATCTCTTTTTCTTAAATATGCATCTTAGGAATTATTTTTGGGAAGTGCTATGGATGCGTTTTATAGGAAGTCATACTCTGTGATTGAAATCATCCCTTCTGGCCTTGGAATCTGTAGATCTTTTCCTGCAAAGTCTGCATTTTGCTGAAAGGATTTGGTTGATTTTCAAGATCTTATGAATGAAAATAATAGACGGTTGATTTGAAACTCCTGCAAAATTAGTCTTCAGTGTAGATTTTAATAAGTTTGTTTGTTTTTGTAAGTAACAAATATTGTTGTTCTTTAATAAACATGACATCCCAGAATATATGAAGTTTAATTGGGATATTTTGTAAGTAAATGCTGTTTTACATTATTTATGTAGTACTTCTGCTATCTTATGTCAGAAGATCTTATGGAATTAGATGCTATTTTTGAATGTGCATAGTTCTGCACTCACATCTTTCTTGTGCAGATGGTGACTTTATCCATAACACAACAAAGGGTTTCTCTGGATATTAGGGTTAGATTTAACAAAGTACAAGATCCAAATTAATAAAGGTGAAGAAATATTCTTTAGTATTCTAACTTACATAATCACAATTTGTCAGTTTTGGGCAAAAAGAGGTAATATACAAAACTCCCAATGACAAAAGCATGTGTACTGAATATTTTGTAAGATGGATGATTAAAAGTAGTTTAGGATTTAGGCTGGTATGCAATAAAATAGAATGGATAAACCAATGTTCAGCACAACAATTTTATCAACTATGTAGAGCGAGCTCCTATATGAGTATTCAAAAACTTGAAATACAACAAAAAGCATGAAATGGTTAATTCCATTAAATAAATTGAAATAGTTGATAGAACAGAAATATTTTTGCTGTATGGAATTTTCTTAATTGACTAACAAAAGCATGTCTCAGAGTCCTAGGTACTGGGTCACTTGATGCCCATAATAAAAGCCTGTTTTTATAAAGCAGAAGATATTGGGTGTCTTTATACAATGCATAGGGCATTATAAAAAATTAAAGCTTTAGAAGATTTAAATTTTCTACAGTTTTAGAACAAATGCACATTGTGCATCAGGTTGAAAATGAAAGTTTAGACACACGTCACAATAAAAGCATATGAAAAATGGAAAAGGGATAAACACACATGGTTTATGGTTTCAACAGCTGAAAGGCATGGTTTAACACATGGTTTATGGCTGAAAGTTAATAGCTCTTTTTGTTCAATGAGTATGCTATTATTCTTATTTTTATAGTGTATATTTTGACTGCCAGTGCTGTTTTTCTAAAGGTTGATTTGTGGCAATCTCCTGTGTCTCACCCAAGATACATTTTCTTAGTTTTTTCTGGGATACCTCCTTGCACTAAAATCAAGTTTCATTAAGAAACTACTCGTTGTGCCCTTTCCTTTCAATTTAGATGATACAGATACTGCACAAATGATACAGACCTGTTTCTCTGGTAAGGTCCTAAACATATTTCTCAGATTAAGAGCATATTTATGGTTTCAGTTGTATTAAACCAAAATCACTCAATATTCATTTAAAATCAACAAAAATATATGCGAAATCTTTAGTCCAGTTTGCAAAATTAGTATAACCAAATTCCATCCGAAGTTGGAATGTAAGTGGGAAGGAAAGGGTAATGATTGGTATAGTCAAGAGTGAGTTTGCTCAGCTAATAGTTACCTTGAAAGTATTAGAAAGCACTGTTATGTATACTTGTAATCATACTTAAACAGCTAGGCTGCGTCTAGACTGGCATGATTTTGCACAAATACTTTTTCTGTTAAAAGTATTTGCGCAAGAGAGCATCTATATTGGCATGTGCCTTTGCACAAAAGATTTGCTTTTGCGCAAAAGCATCAGTGCCAGTGTAGACACTCTCTTGCGCAAGAAAGCTCTGATGATCATTTTAGCCATCGGGCTTTCTTGCGCAAGAAATTAACTTGGCTGTCTACACTGGCCCTCTTGCGCAAGAATAGTTGCGCAAGAGGGCTTATCCCCGAGTGGGAGCGTTGGAGTATTTGTGCAAGAACCACTGATTTTGTACAGTACAAAGTCAGTGTTCTTGCACAAATACTCGCGGCCAGTGGAGCCGCTTTTGTGCAAAATCTTGCCAGTCTAGATGCACCCCTATTGAGCTGATACAGAAAAATTGTTTATGCAGATAATATTGCTCATAACTCCCTTTTTGTGTCCCAAATTATTCAGCTCTTTTGTATATACTTTCCTTATACTTTATTTTTACTTCAATAAACGTAAGGATGAAAGTAGTCATCTTCTCTTTCTCCTTCTTCGTGACCATCTTCTGTTTCCTGACCATCATCTGCTTCGTCATATTCTTCTGGTGTTAAAAATCTCCGGACCACTGGAGTTCTCAGTTGTGTTAATTGGTTGATGCTACTTTTTTGTTCACCATAATAAATAATGCGTATGTGAGGAAAGCAGAAGAATGCATATATGCTTATTGGAGCTGTCAGCTTATTTTGGTCCATCCGAATATAGGTTAAATGATTGGCATTCCTTGGATCAATGGAAGGACACATCAAAGTAATATTTACAACTGTAAAAGAGTGAAAAATATAAGTGTAAACATTGAAAATATTAAGATAACTCAGATTTCTTTAAAATCTATTTTTCACGGCTAGAAACAGGAATAATATCCACCCATATAATTAATGCAAAATATTGCTATCATCCCACCTCTTGACTGAAGTTAGAGTTTCATATATGGAAAAATGGCAAAACCAACAACAAATCACTTCTGATTAAGGAGGAATGGGTAAGGTTGTTGTGTTAAAATGGCCTAGATTAGATTATTTTTATCTGAGGAAACTACTAATAGTTGTCACTTTCTATATACAAATAAATGCTTATGCTGTTACTGCAAACAAGTTCTAAACAGTGGACTAAATTTATTAGATTTTTTGTATTAGGAGAGCCTGGAGCAAAATCTGATAGTGTGTGCTTGGAGGAATATGGCTAATGTTTTGTAATGTTTCCTCCATTAGTGGTCCATAATAACAATAATTAACAATTCAGCGCATCCCTTGGGAAGGCCATGCTGCAACTAATGGAACGCTCAAAGAAGGGCAGGCAGAGGTAATCTGCATCATAACAACACAGAAACCTCCTTAAGGTATCAAGAGTGGATATAGCTCCGTAGTGTTGAGTGTAAGTTAAAAGTCAAAGTTTTTGAGAAATAAGCAGAAAAATTATGCAAAAGTAATGTAAAAGTAATTTTTATAAAGGAGTAATAATATTGAACGTACATTGAATGTAAAAGAAAAAATGTTGCAGAAACACTCATTTTTATAAAGGAGTAATAATATTGAACGTACATTCAATGTCATTGTCTTCAATGTACAAATGCTGCAGACTTCTTGGAATATAAAATGCTTGCTTCAGCTTGTTGTGTCCAAGATTGAGTTCTACAAGGTTGGAAAGGTTAAAAACATTATATGGGATTTCCTGTAGGTTGTTGTGTGACATTCTTAAAGCAGTTATTTTTGGAAGTCTATTGAAATAGTTTTCTGGAATGTAAGAAATTGAGTTATTTTCGAGGGAGAGATACATAAGTGAAAATGGTAGATCAGGAGGCATAGTATGTAATCTGTTGTTGCATAGGTTGATCTGCATTAGATTTTTCATATTTGAAAAGTATTTTCCTTTGAGTAGGGAGTCGTCAAGATAATTATTGCAGAGATCAAGCATGGTCACATTCACTAACCCTTTCAGGGCATTTCTAGGTAATTTGGAAATCTCATTGAAACCAAGAAAGAGTCGTTCTAGAGTGATGGGAAGAGGAAATGGGAATTCATCCAATTTGTTGTGTTCTAAGTGAAGTTGCACAAGATTTGAAAGTTTGGCAAAAACACCATGGTCAATCATATGAGATTTAATTTTGTTATGGCTAAGGTTAATTTCTTTCAAAGCAGTGGCATTAACAAAGGATTGTGCAGTCACAGCTTCAATGTCATTATGCTGAAGATAGAGTTGTTGGATGTGGGAAGGTATATTTGGTATCATCTTAAGTTTCCGATGGTCACAGTACATTGATAAAGGAAAAGTTGGTGGGCAAAAACATTCTTGAGGACACTTTATGGGAGTAGGAAAATGAGGAATTACGTATTCTATACTGGGATTGAAATGAAAAATAGGAGGGTATTCCTCATCTGGCTCTTCATCATATTCATACTCAAAATCATAATTTTGATGCTGACAAAAGACCATAGCTCCAAATAGAAGAGAGATAATTGATAGTTGACACAGAAACATCGTTTTGTTGTTTTCATGTAGTATCCTGTTGAAAAGAAGAAACAAAATTCATAAATAGACTAAATCATATTTAGAGTCCAATGTATGAAAATATATTTTTAAAAGAGAAAAAAATTACTGCAGGAAACACAAATATTTACCTTGTATAATTGTGATCAAAATTATTATTCTTTGAATTTTGAATTTTTTAAGGCACCTATTACCATAGCTTTCAAACAAGTGAATTGCATTCTTTCCATATTTGCTTCCCTTTTTGTGCACAAATCCTAAAGCCCAGGTCAACTTGGTGCTAGAGGGTTCTGTAGCACTAGTGGGTGGTAAAAAGGGAATTTTTATCCTTGTGTTCACTCTACACATTGCAAGGAAGTAGTGCCTGTGTGGGGGCTCTATGTCCACAATTGCACTCTGAGAGTTGCAGTAGTCTCCATGGATACTGCATTCTTTTCATCATGAAGAAGGGCATTTACTAATGGATATGTAGGCCAGGGCCCTTAAATTCTACTTTAAAGTGATATGGGTAGAATTTTTCTGGAGTACAACAAATATCTTGATGTATAGTAGTTACAGAGACTGGTTCGCTTCCTAATGCACATGCAATATAAATAATTATAAAAATACAGTTATGTCTAATATCATTTTGGTAGTTTTTAGCTTACAGTTAATTTTTGAAAAGTCTCAGAGGATTAGCTGTGTTAGTCTGTAACTTAAAAAACAATGAATAGTTCTGTGGCACCTTAGGCCTGGTCTACATAAATGGGAAGATTGAAGTACCGTAAAGTTGCGAGTATAGTGCGCACTTTTTTCCCCATTTTTTTTTTATGTCAAAGTCGGGGTGCACATTATCCATAGGAGGTTTTCTAAAAAAGTTTTAAACTCACCCTCGGCAGGCACGGGCTGGGCTGGGTTGGGGGGGCTGGCTGGTGGGAGCTTGGCAGCACGCTCCCTCGGCAGGCGCGAGCTTGGCACATGGCAGGCTGGGCAGGGGAGGCTCCCCCAGCAGGCGCGAGCTCGGCGTGCTGGCAACTGGGTGGGGGAGACCTCCCCCCAACCCCCGGCAGGTGCGAGCTCAATGCGCACGAGCTCAGCTGGGCAGGGGGATCCCGCAGCAGGCGTGAGCTCAGCTGGGTAGGGGGTTCGGTGGCAGGCACGAGCCCCTTCCTTCCTATGCATACCGTAAAATCTCAAGTATAATGGGGGTGCGCATTATAGTTAAGAGTTTAGTTTATTCAAGAATTTTCACCTTTAAAAGGCAGATGCACATTATACATAGGTGCGCATTATACTCGAGATTTTACGGTAAGATGTGCAACTCCAGCTACTTAAGTTACATAGCTAGACTCAGCATATCTTAAAACCCAGTCCGCACAGTAGGAGGTTGATGGGAACAAATGCTCTCTTCAGCTTCCCTTACTCTTCACAAGGAGTAAGACTACCAGCACCAAAGGAGGAACTATTTGAGTTCGATCTAGTGGGTCTATTCTTCACCTGCTAAATTGAACCACGGAAGTTCGACCGTAGCAGCGTCTATCTTTCCTTGTAGTGTAGATGTGCCCTTAGAGACTAACAAAAATATATAGTAGCATGAGCTTTCATGGGTAAAATCCATTTAATCAGTTGCTGAGCTGGAGTGGAAATAACACAACCAAGATATTTATAATGGCAGGGGAGGGAAGGGGGGAGTACCAGTCAATTGTAGGACCAATGCTAACGAGGCTAATAAAGTGGACCGGATGTGTCCCATTCTTTGCTTTTGATGTGAAAATGCAGTTGCTAGAGGCAGGAGAAACTGCCTTTATAATGGGACATCCAGTTAATGTCTTTGTTCAAGCTCAGAAACAGTGTCAAATTTGTAGATGAATACTAATGCCACATTCTCTGTAACTGGCTGGTGAAATTCCTTTGTAGAAGAATGTTTACTTTTAAATCCATGATTGAGTGACCGACCAGGTGGGTTAAAATGTTCCTCTACAGGTTTATGTGTGTTACCATTTCTGATGGCTGATTTGTACCCATTTATCCTTTGTCATAGAGATTGCCCAGTTTGGCCAATATACATGGCAGAGGGGCATTGCTGGCACTTGATGGCATATGTCGCATTAGAGGATGTGCCATTGTATGAGCCTCTGATGTTGTGGCTTATGTCCTGTGATGGTGTTGCTTGTATAGATATGTGGTTCTTCTTAAAGTGCTTGGCTATGTCCATTCAAATTAGGTGTGTGCGCGCCATGTGCATGGATTCCAGAGCTTTTTCCCTTAGCAGTACCTGTTGGGCCAGCCAAGGAACCCATTGGAGTGGCTCTGCTATATCAGCACATAGATACCCCTGCTGGCCTTCCACCTCTTCAGTTCCTTCTTCCCGCTGGTGATTGTAGCTGGAACGCTGACTACGTACTTAGTCTCAACTCTTAGGGTGTATACGTAGTTGTTCTTTTGTTTTTCAAGCTATTTAGTTGTTAGCTAATTCAGTATTAATAGTTTAGATAAGGAAAGGGAGTTTTCTTCCCTTTTGCCTCTCCCCGGGGATGCCCGGGCCGCAGGGGTTCAAGCTGTGTGCAGAGTGCTTGAACCCCATGTCCTACGGCAACCTGCATTATTCTTGCCTAAAGTGTTTGGGCAAGGGTCATCGTATGGATAATTGCCACATTTGCAAGAGACTCAAGCTCGTTCTCATAGAGTATGCTTCGCAACTACCAGCACCGGAGCCGGCACCATTGGTGTGAAGCACACCGTCCTCCGCATGGGATATCTCAGTGCCACTGACCAGACAGGCCACTTCCTCATCGAAATCCTCGAGGTACCTCTCTCATTCCCCAGTACTGAGGAGGGAGAGAGATCACAGGAGGAGATCTCCGGAGAGGTGCAGCCACAAAGTGCGCCTGAGGGAGGGGTACCCAGCTTAAATGATGCACTGTGAGGCTCTGAGACCTGCAAAGGCGCTGGCAGACTTCAATGCAGAGGGAGAATCTGGTGCTGGAGGTGGTAATTGAAGAAGTCTGGCAACCATCAACCTCCGAGACATTTGAAGCACCTCAGGAGCTCATTGAGCAGACTTCTTCCCTGTGCACCAAGATCTCGGCATCACGTCTGGAGGCCCAACCTAAACCCTGGGCACCGACCCTGGCATTGCTGAAGGTGCCACAAGCCCCATTTGGGCCTGGTGATGTTTCTAGCACCAGGACACTTATAGGGACTGTTGCCAGCACCCAGGCCTGCCCCCTCGGCATCGGGAACTCTGGCACCACAACACCGAATGGCACCAGTCCAATGAGCACCGGGGTCTGGGGCAGCATGAGGGGTGCAAGGTGTCGGGTTTCAGTCTGGGCCGCTGGTACTGACTTAGGCTGTGTCTAGACTACATGCCTCTGTCGTCAGAGGCATGTAGATTAGACACATAGGCAAAGTCAAATGAAGCCGCGATTTAAATGATCGTGGCTTCATTTAAATTTACATGGCTGCCGCGCTGAGCCGACAAACAGCTGATCAGCTGTTTGT